CGCCCTGCGCGCGCCTGCTCCAGGGGTCTCCCCGCCTTTTTCCGCCACCATCCAATCAGATCGGGCGAGGGGCGCGAAGCCCGGGAGACGCGTAGGCCGCGGTCCCCAGGCCTGGTGCTTTGGCATCTGCGGGTGCCCGGAGTCGCGTTCCGTGCCGAGTAACGGTCTTCAGAATTCAGAACCTTCGCCTTAGGGAAGGTGGGACGGTCGCCAGTTTCTCCAGCACTTTCTTCGTCCAGGGACGTCAGCCTCCCTTGCATGCTGTCCTCAGGGAGTGACAGCCGGGCCTGCTCAGACGTTCACGTCGGGGCTTTCTACAGGCCTTTGTGACTAAGTGCTAGGGGTGAGGAGCGACGTGGCTTATTTATGTGTTTTTCAGTTTGTTATGATTTTTTTATTATTATTATTTTACTTCTCCCTGCCCTAGAATTGAGCTCCTTGAGTAAAAACCCGCCTGGGTCGCCATCACCCTAGGCTTGGTGCAGGGCCTGCCAGGCGTTCGAAATTTGTTGAAGAGGTGGGTGTTTAGTATTGAAAGAGCCGCGGATTGGGCATTAGAAACCTTGGCTTTGCGCCGCGTCCTTGCCACTTGCTGACCGGGCGCCTCCACGTGGTCCTCGCCCGTCCAAAGGCACGGGGAGGCGCGTGGCGGCCCTGCCTGAGCTGAGCCCCCTGGAACGTGAGACCGTCTCGCTCTGAACTTCAAAGCGGGGTTGCAGGAGCTACCTCAAGGTCGTTTTGAGGACGGGAAAACTGCTCAAAGCCTGCTTACCTAGATCAATGGTATCGATTAACTTTTCTTTGACTCCCTTTCCACACCTATAAAATGAAGATAACGGGAAACTTGTCATACATTTGTTTGTGGTTGGTGGGAAAGGTCTTTATGAACTGTGAAGTCTTATGCAAATGTGAGATGTTTCCTTTCGCAATCTGATTAGCAACTCAAAACACATGAAGCAAAAACACGCGAAGTCAAAAACGTACACAGGAAGCAAAAAAAAAAACCTCACAAAATGGTTTATCAACTGCAGAATATTCAGGATGGTGGAACTGAATGATAACTATTGACAACATAGCTCAGAAAGGACATGCTAAAGCATGCTGGATGAAGCTAACTTTGATCCAGGTCTTAAATGGAATGGACTATAGTTTATAGCTTCAACCTAAATATTAACTTATGAAATCAGAGAATTAAGGCCACTTATGCCACTATGCTCAGACTGTCAAGATATTTTAGTTTCTGAAAGCAGAAGGAAGAAATTAAATAATCTTGTCAACTCAACATATGGGTTGGATGATTAGCAGGATCCATGGATTGTTCTGTTTATCCAGTATGTGAAGAAACGGATATCTTCTGTTTTCTTGTTATTACAGAAACTTCTGTCCTTAATATGTGACCTTTGAAGGTTGAACTCTAGGTAAAATTATGAAGTGCACAGTTACGTCTTGTTTCTTCTTCTCTTTGTATGTCATTTTACAAGAGAATCTTAATTTTATCAAAGTACAAATGACACAAGATTGTAGCCACTCCTGGGAGATTTTGCATTTTTACAGTTATTAAAAGCCATAACTCAAAGCAGCAGTTGAATCTGTTTCATAAACCAACTAAGATTTAAAAGAGCTTCTTTGGGAGGTCATGAGTTCACCAGAAACTTCTGAAATTACAAGTGTAGGAGTTCAGCCTATAAAACGAAGAAATACATGACTTGCAGTATTTCTTCATTTTATAGGCTGAACTCCTCTAAGTTCTTGATTCCCATTTTGTGACCTCCCTTTCTTAGATTATTAAAATAAAATACAGGTGGCTCACGCCTGTAATCCCAGCACCTCGGAGGCTGAGTCAGGGGAAGATCACTTGAGCCCAGGAGTTTAAGACCAGCCAGGGCAACATGGGGAGATCACATCTCTTAAAACATTAGTAATTGAGCACGGTGGCACACTCCTGTAGTCCCAGCTATTTGGGATACTGAAGCAGGAGGATTGCTAGAGCCTGGGAGGTCAAAGCTGCAGTGAGCTGTGGTCACACCACTGCATTCCAGCCTGGACAACAGAGTGAGACCCTGTTTCAAGAAAAATAAAATGAAACATTTATTTCTGGATGTTATTTTGAAAGATTTTGTCATGTCTTAATGAGCCCTGGCCAGGTAATCACAGCACTTTGGGAGGTCAAGGTGGGAGGATGCTTAAAGCCAGGAGTTTGAGACTAGCCAGGTCAACATAGTGAGACCCTGTTTCCACAAAAAATAAATAATTAGCCAGGTGTGGTGGCACGCACCTGTAGTCCTAGCTACTTGGGAAGCTGAGGCAGGAAGGTCACTTAAGCCAGGACTTCAAGGCTGCAGTGAGCTATGATTGTGCCACTGCACTCCAGCCTGGGTGACAGAGTGAGACCCTCTTTCTTAAAATAACAATAATAATGAATTATTTGTGCCTTCAGGCAATAAAATTCTTTTAACAAAATTCTTAATACACATATCAATTACCCAGCCTCTTAAGTGACTGAGTTTTCTTCTAGTTGAGTGCACACAGTCTTTTTGCCTTATTGAAAAACTTAGAAATTAGATGTGACATTGCTTAACATGGTGGGGTGGTTCAAAGAGGACCAGAAAGAAGCAAGTCAGAAACCAGTAATGTTAAGAAATTATTTCTAGGCTGATAGTACACTGAAGTTTAAAAACCTCCAGCCCAACCTTCTACCCAACATGTGAGTCTGTCTCCTGTTCTGTGCACAATCATAGTTTTCATCATTATCAAGCCCTCTTCCCAGAGTTTCAGTATGCACTCATTTAAGTAACAAGCCTACTTGTTGCAAGGTATGCACGTTTTTCCTGTTTCACCATGTTTTCATGAGTGTAATGCATTATCCTTGCATTAAATTAACAGCTTTACAAAGGTTAGTTACCACCCAGTGTAAATCATTATGCTTTCTATCCTCACTTTCTTACTGGTCTTTGCCATTCCTGGCACAATCAACTGTGCTATCCTTGGTTTTCCTTTCCCTGCAACAATATCCTTCTTAATTTTTCCTATGATATGGCAGATTTATTTGACACAGCTCCTAACCTCGATCATCTGATTTATCTCGATCCAATGAGGCAAGTACATTATATTCTAATATAGGGAATCCTATATTCATGTGAGGAAACTGAAGCATAGAGAAGTTGGATAATTTACCCCAGGTCCCACAGGCTAGTGAAGAGCAGGCTCTAGAATCAAACCCAATTTTGTCTGACTCTAGAGTCCAAGTTCTTAACCACTATGTTCTAAGAAAGAGAAAAGCAGTTTCTGACATTCTGTAGATGCTGGCACACTAGGCTTTGGTATTCTTGTTGAACAAAAACAATTTTAGAGAACATCAACATCAGATGAGGTCACTCCATGATCATGGTAGATCAGGACAAAAATAACACTACTTCATAATCATGTCTCAACGTAGACAAAAACACAAATGCTGTCCAACCCACCAAATGGAATACATAAAATGAAAATACCAATCTAGTCTACGTAGCTGTTGCCTCTTTGCCAATGACAGCTTTAGCCTCATTCCAGTTTTCCCTCTTTCTAGATAAGATTTATTAAGATATCTTATAAATATATAATTACCCCCACTTCCTGACAATATCCTGTTT